AAATGTTTACATAGAATTCAAATTTAATATTACATGAATTATTTATAACTTTGCAAAATTAAATTTAAGTTAAACAAATAACAACTAAATGCATTTCTAATTACTATTATCAAATATTTATAGTATAAGTACATCCCAACTAGGTTAGCACCTCCCCCCCTTTTTTTTTCAAATTTTTTTAAATTTATTTTTTCACGGGTCAGCGAGTTAACCGCGACCCGTGAAGGTGCAACCCGCGAAGCCCGCGGGTCACACCTCCTTGACCCGTGAACCACCCGCTCAGGTCACGGGTCGGCCCGTTGTCCTGGATCGATCCAAGCTGATTTTCACGGGTCTGGCCGGCCCGTCTGTCTTGACACCTCTATATAATATTGCAGAAGACCTTTTGGCCTTAAAAACAAAAGACGTGCAAATTCTTAATGCTTTTCAATTTTTTTAAATAGATTGTTTGCCTTGATGGTCCAATATTTTTTGTTTGTTAGCTATAATTACAATCAGAAGTTCATTCTACGACACAAGTCACAACATCTCAGTCAAAATAAGGAAATTTTAAAGATTTTACGAATATATTTGGTAGAGTTTGGAGTTTTAGGTTCTTGAAATTTCAAATTGACCTAATGACAGAAAACCTGGACAATGAAGCTTGTAATTAAGTTTTAAATTATCTACTTGGAAGTATTTTGAAATTTGAGCTCAACTCCAATATTTATTCGATATTGAAATTTCAGCTTAACCCAAATTTTAATACGAACCCTTTTTCTTTGGTCTTGAAATTGAAGCATTTTAAGCCAAAATATGAGCTTGGATAGAACAGTACGTATTATATGGAGTATTATCCATATTGATATTTGACATAGTAGACATGCACATATATAACACATGCAACAAGATCTTTGATTGTATCAGCTTCACAAAATTGAAATTGATCCAACTTCTGGCCTTCATCGTGATCAAAATCAAGTTCAACATCAGTTCACGATTGCAGCCTTAATGCAACAATAATAATCTGATGTCTCACCTTCTTGCTCAAAATAGAAAATTTATATGCAGAATCATCCTCAAAAGCAGTTCAACAAGCAGAAAACCACATATACGAAAAACTATCGACGAAACAAACAAGACTTACTCTTTGAAATCGGCGTATGTTTGGCACCCATTCTCATTCTCATTTTTTTCTCTTTCTTCATTTCAACCACACATTCTTCCAATAAAATAATATTTCACGCAAATCTAAAACTTTTCATAACTTTTCCTCCACCACATTTCTCGTAGTTTGGTTTCAAGAATTCAGAATATCAAAAAATATGAATTAAAGCGAAAGAAAAATTGTCAAATGCAAATCTTGAAAATAATATCTTCTCAGTTGCAATGTAAATGGAGCAAATTCAAGTCCAACCTGAATTTCTATTCACCAGTTGTTCCTTCTAAATACATATCCGATCGATTATACAACATAAGAACGCAAAAAATCAGTAGACATTTCTTAGAAATTCCTTTAGCTCAAGAAACTTTAAATAATTCCCCAATTTGAATATCAAGAAAAAGGGACTAGGAATTCATGTATGGAATCATTTAATTTTAATTACATCCCAAACAGCAGTTCCCCATCTTTCTCTTCAAGTATACAGACACATATTATCAATTCTAAAATAATCACAATAAAAATATAACAAAAGAGAGTACACGGGACGGGATTGTAAACATTACTAAATTGCGCAAGCTTCATCTTCACGAGATCCCTTTCGAAGGGCGAACTGATATCTGAACAGGAATGGCCCGTCCTGTCCCGGTGCCGCCGCAGCTATTGCAAGCCATGCGACCCGACCCGGCACATGTCCGACACCCAACGTCACCATCCGACCAGCGGGTACACATGCACGTAACCCGACCCGTACCTTTACAACTGGGGCATCTGGGCAGTCCACCCGGACCCCCCATCGGATTATTCTCCATCACAGATTTCACCAGAACCGCCCCAGCCAAAAAGCTCAGTCCCGTCGCAAACTGAGTCAACACAATCGGACCCATTGCTGCTTCAATTCCTTTTTTCCCGGAAGGTGTAATCTGCAGATGACAGAAAATATGGGAAGAATTTTTTTGGTAATTCTTATATGATTTCTTTTTTTTTTTTTTCAAAATTGTGTGTTTGTGGGTGTTTTATATATCAAGTGGTGGTGGAATGGTACACGTGATTCTGCTTACAAGTTAGTGGTGCAGGGACGACGGAGATTTGGAGTGTAGTGAGGAATGGGAATAGGATTTCTTTGGTGGCGTTTTTTGTTGGGGTCTGCGGCCATTCGCATTTGCTTTGGACTTCTCAATCTCAAATTGCAAGGAGATTTGCTTTTCTTTATTTCTTTGACTGACTTAGTTGAACACAATATTTAAAAGATGAAAAATTAATAAATTATACGTTCTTGATCTATTTAATTATTTAAATTTAATTTAAATCAAATGGTTCGATATGATATAAGAAGGTCCAAGTTTAATTATCACTCGCTGGTTGGTGAAATTGTGCACATATGAAATTAAGCTTTGATGGAGAAAAATGAACAATATCTACAAATTGAGGAAAATATTGAAGACAATATTTGGATCCAACTGTTCTAATATATTTTAAAAATTTACTTATAAGTAAACTTCATTATGTGCTTAAGAGACTTTCTGAAAGTCTAAAACAATACTTACTGTTTGTTTGATAAAGTTTTGCTTGTTTACATTCAAATGCTAGCACCTTCGACTTACCACAAATCAGACTTAACATAAATTTAGCCACTGGAGCCATTCTGAAAAGAAAGAAATTAGCACTACTCGGTGTAATAAGTTCTCTTCGAATCAATTTCAAATCATCTACTAGAGTTTGTAACAATCCAAACGAACGATACCCTTGTTCAAAAAGTTCAAGTGGGTTCCTTATTTTTTATTCTATTTTATCAATTGATCAAAATTTAATTTCACGACACCTTTTTTTTTAAACCTACAACTTTCTTTAACTTTTAGTCACATTTCATCAACTTTCACAAAAAAATAAAAAACTGTCAACAACCCCTTAATCTAGAATGGTTGTTTGTACTAAGAAAGAGTTGTTCGGATTTTATTTTTGTTAGGTCCTAATTGTAATTGGCAATTCCTGTGTTCAAAATCATTAATTATTGAGTCGTAATTAAAGTCAAAAGAGTCGGGATTGGTAGAGTCCTAAAAGGTGTCGAAAACAATTAAAGAAAATCAATAAACGAGATCATGACTGCCCGGTATACGTCAAGGAGGCGCTCAGGATAGGAAGATTGGAGCTTCCTTGGAGCGACATCGCCGCTCAAGCGGTGGGCATACTGATAGCTTGGCACGAGAGCGATGGTTACGTCCGGAAAATCCTAGTTTGCTATTTTAAGCTTATTTTTCAATGACATTAAACCTCAAACACTACCTATTATAAATATCGAATCATAGGTGTTGGCAACTAAGGATATAATCGTGCAATAATTTTGGGCAGAATACTGAATTTAGAAAAAAAAATGAGTGAAATAAAATGATAATGGTCGAAACAAGAGTTTGACTCTTTCTCCTTAAGACGATAACACGCCGCACCAATGCCGACGGTCTTCCAGCATTCGTCTCCCAAGATACACCGACTTTAACTTGTAATAGTAGCACTCCAAATTACAAGAGCCGACGAATCTACTAATTTTTTTATGTCTAAAATTGGAGGACTAAAATGCACGAAAATTATATTCGGGACTGAAATGCACAATATGGAATAATGCAGGATGTAAGGATTATATTTTACAAGAGAGAAAATTCGAAAAGATTTTGAAATTAATAGAAATGAGGTATGGGGACCTTTATATAAAAGTTGAAAATTGTGTCCAAAGGCACAACAATCGAAAATATATACCAATTTGGCCCAAAGGCAAGACCCAAGTCTTGTGTCATATCGAGCCTAGCTGAGCCGATCAGGTCAAACGGACGGCGGCGGCGCGTGTGTGGGCTTTATCTCAACCTACTAACATGTACGTTATCTTCCTTCAAGGACTATTGGTACCCCTTGAACCCCAAACCCAAGTAACAAACTTGAGCAATATAAAGTGGTTTCTATTTGTCTAGTTTTCCTATATGGAATTGTCATTTTCCAATTTCCACACATTTTTATTCTCAATTTATTTTAACTTCAAGTGGTCATTTTCGACCTTAATTTCTCATTCGCCCTAAATTGATTTTGAGAAAAATAAATACATTATATAAATCCACTCAAGGAGAAAAACATACTTGGCCAAAGAAATATTTTATCCAACTAACAGGATCCACCAAAATAATTGGTCAAAAGTTGGTGAAACCAACTAATTAAAAGTTGGACTTTCATCATATATATGAAACTTCTTAAGTACAGTCTCAATATAGTGAGATGGGATATAACAAGTCCTTCGGATGTTTTCAAAATTGTAATTCCTAATATTACATCTGCAATTATCTTTCATGTCAAAATATTTCGTCAACATTTCCTTGGTAGTTGTTATAATATCACAATTAATACCCATAATTAGTATGGCATCAACATATAGATATATGATTACATATGCATTAGGTGTGGTTTTAGGGTTAAACACCAGTTGACAACATAATTTTGTCAAATTTTGTATGCCATTATTTTGGCGCTTGCTTTAGTCCGTTTAATGACTTAACGAGTCTACACGTCTTTTTACCATGTCCAAGAACAATAAATAATTCAGGTTGTTTCATATAAATTTCTTCTTCTAGCTCATCATTTAAGAAAGCTATTTTGACGTTCATCTGATAGATTTCCAAATTATGCAATGCAGTTATTGCAATTAATACTCTAATAGATGTTAGCTGTATCACAGGTGAGTATGTATCGAAAATTCAAGATTTTCTTTTTGTTTAAATCTTTTAACTACCAATCTAACCTTATATTTATCAACTAGTCCATCAGTCTTTAATTTTCTTTTAAAAATTCATTTACAACCTAACGATTTGTTACCAGGTGGGAGATCGACCAACTCCCGGTATGATTCTGCTTAATAGAATCAATTTCACTATTGATAGCTTCTTTCCAGAATGGAGTTTCTGGACTAGACATTGTTTCATTTAATATTTTAGGTTCATTTTCACAAATAAGTTTAAAAATTTGGACTAAAAGATGTAGATGTTTTGATCTTTTTGCTACGTCTTGGTTCTTCATTACTTTGATGATAACCAATTACAGTATCATAAGTTCGTTTTTACGAACTCATCTCTTTCCTATCCTTACAAGGAAAAATGTCCTAAACAAATACGGAATTCCTAGATTCAATGATAGTATTTTCATGTACATTCTAAATGTTAGACTTATTTATGATGAATCAGTAAGTACAACTGTTATTAGCATATCTAATGAATATAAAATCGATGGTTTTAGGACATATTTTAACTTGTTTAGGCTTTAATACTTTTACCCTAGCAAAACACCCCACATTTTAAAGTATTTGTACAAAGTTTATGACATTTCCAAAACCCATAAGAAGTTTCGTTCCTACTTTTATGTGGTAATTTATTTAAAATGTGGTTAGTTGAGAAAATTGCTTTCCCCAACAAATTTTGAGGTAAACTAGAGTTAATCAACATAGCGTTCATCATTTCTTCCAGAGTACGATTTTTGCGTTCCGTAATATCGTTCGAGTAAGGTGAATAAGGAGTTGTAGTTTGATAAATAATCTAAGAATCTGAATAAAATTATTCTAACGGTGCTCCATATTCCACACCTCTATCACTACGAACAACTTTTATTCGTTTGCTTAGTTGATTCTCAACCTCATTCTTATCTTATTTAAATGTTTCCAAGGCCTCGTCTTTGCTCCTTAGCAAATAGACATAACAGTACATTATGCAATCATCTATAAAAGTAATAAAATACATTTTACCTCCTCTAGTTTGCACAAACTTTAAATCACAAATATCACTTTGAATTAATTCTAGAGGATCCGAGTTCCTTTCAGTTGAATGAAACGGTGTTTTGGCAAATTTAACCTATACACATGTTTCATATTGATTATTTTGATCAAATGAAATAGAATGCAATAAATCTAAACTTACTAATTTACGTAAAGTATTAACATTAACATGTCCTAACCTATCATGTCATAAGTTAGAAGACTCAATCAAGAAAGTAGAAGATTTATTTTTATTAATATCAAAATTACGAAGTACAGACATTACATTCATTTTGAATTGCCCATTAGCTAAGTACCATTTGCTCACAAACATGCCATTTTTGTAAGCACAAACTTGTCAAACTCAAATACTAGCCTAAATCCATTTTTGCTTAACAAAGTTCCAAATACCAAGTTTTTGCGAATATCGGGAACATGCAGTACATCGATGGGTGTTAATTATTTCCTCGATGTCATCTTCAGTACTACTTTATCTAGACCAACAACTTTTGACATTGTCAATGAATAGTTGTCGTCCATTGATAGAAGTGTAAAATGAAAACATCTCCCAGCACAAACATAACGAATAACGCCAGTGTCTACAAACCATTCTCTCGGATTGTTCACCATGTTCGCTTCAAATACAACAGCTGAGGGCATTAGTTCAGACACACCATTAGACAATTTGTTTTCCTCGGTCAAGTGTACTTGGTCCTTTTTGTTTTGCTATTTCTGTCGGCAGTCATTTGCGATGTAACTAGACTTATCGCAGTTATAGCAATCTCCTTTGAATTTCTTGGCTTTGTTATTTTGCTTGCTATTACCCGAGTGCTTTCTTTTCTTGCTAGTATTTGGTTCCACCAAATTGACTTTAACCTCCATTTGCTTCCATATTTCTTTTTAGAATTTCGATTATCTTCCTCGATTATAGCCTCTACTTTTATTGCTCAAGCGACATTCAGCAAAAAGCAGGCGAAAAACCTTACACAAATAGCACTGAATTTTTGAAAATTTCGAAAAATAGCATTTTTAAAATGAAAAATCAGGTTTCCATCATATTGATGAACTTAAAAATGCATGTGTTCACAAGTATTGTACTATCAATAA